TGCGAGCGTGGTCGCAGAAACGACGCTCGCGCCGCGTCCAGCAACCCAAGCCGCCTGCCCAGCACTGTGCGGGCCTGCACTTTTGATCCCCGGGGACACCCTCGTAAGTCGCCCGTTTCGCCTGTCGACTATCGCGCGTGTCCGTTGCGCAGCGCTAATCCCTTCTGGATCGCGCAGAAGGCGCAGAAGGCGTCCACGAAGGAGACCACATCGCGGGGGCGACGCGTCCCGTCCTGTGGACCCCGGCCATGTTTGCGCTCTCGACACCAAGGTCGGCGCCGCGCCCGTAGCCCGAGCCCTGTTCACCGACGCGGCGGGTTGAATCGACAGGTACGTGTTCCCGTTCTCGATCGCTGTTCCCCCGTTCACTCTCGCCCCTCTGTCACGCCTCGCGCTAGCCGTCCGCTCTTGCTCCCTTCGCCACACCTCCTCCCCGTCGTCCGGCTGCACCCACGTCGCCTGTCGGGAGAACAGGTTGCGGATGTGCTGCGCATTCTCATATTTTTCCGCGCTGTGGCGCCGAATCTGCCCACTGCGGTCTGACAGGACGCGTACGTGCAATACACTTAGCTCTCAATTGTATGCTTCTTCTACTCATGTGTGTGGGAGCTCTGGGCCATCCCCTAGAGCCCTGTGTCTATCTGCTTGACTCTCCGCGGCTCAGGTGCGGGACCTGTGCTCGCCTATTCTGCTCAGTGTGCGCGATGCAGTGGACGAAGACCTCCGCGCGTGTCGGTCGGGCCGCGTGCGTCGTGCATGCATTTTTGGGTAGGTCACAGCGCGGAATTCTACTACATTGTACACGCTCCGCCGTGTACACGCAAGTTGCCCAAGTCACAGCATCTTGGACATAGCTTTGCTATATGCTGTATTGCTCGTACTCGCTATTGCGTCTTACAATGGCGGCCTTGCTTGAACCGGCCAGTAGGCACGACCAGGAGCTGCGCATGAAGGCACGGCAATGCTCGCGATAATTTACTGTCCATGTCTTTAGATTGTTGAGTGCGTGGGAGCACGCATATTTTGACCTGCAGACGAATCATGCCACACTTTTTTGTATGACTTATGGGGCACCATTATCTAACGACGTAACCGTCTGAGAGTGGGCGCTGCGAAGGTGTCCATGAGCCTCACAGATCATGAAATGTGTACCGAGGAAGACGTACTACTTTCAAATGAAGAGGTGATCGGCGGGGGGGTTCACAATTGACACAGCCCGCTCCCACTGTGACCTGTAAGGTTTAGACCAATGGGTTACGCAGCCGCCTCCAGCAGGTCCGCCATACCAGATACCGATGTGGTATAGCTTTGGGTGAGGCCTAACATGTGCACGGGAGCGCGGGCGGCGAGCGCCGTTGACCCATGACATGACAAGCTTAAATTCTTCATTCCAGTCGCCCGCCCTTCGCACCAACAAAGCTGAAGTACGGAATAAAAGCTCCTCCAGCACCTCGAGCCGCTTGAGAGCCTCAGACCATATACAGGGGTCTTCGCATGGACAACGGGGGAGAGTGTCACCATTCTACAAATGTGTTAGCGAACGAAAAGGGAGGGGGTTTAGTATAGGAAATACCTTCGTCAACGGCTTTTCGATAAGCTTCAACTTTCGCACGGAAGGGCACGCGCGCGCAATTTCGTCCAGAATATTATAGTCGTCGTCGCGGATGTCAACAATAAGCGCATAGAGTCCGGGAAGGGGAGGGTCTAACATGCGCAGGGGGTGGGTAGGACCGGTGGAAGACCCTTCGAGATCCATGGTGAGGCGTGTGAGCCCGGAAGGTGCAATCTGGACGGCACAGCATGCAGGACCGCTGAGGGATTTTGTGGCGCGGAAATCCACCTCCTGTAAGGGACATGGCACATCGCAATGACGTGAGTTGCCAACGAGATCAAGATTCATGATGTGTGGGTGTGCGGCAAGGAAGTTGGTGAGAATAACATGGGAGAGATCGGTACGGAAGTACTGCAATTGAGGGAGATGAATGCCGCGCAGAGCGACAGGGTTTCGAAGGCGAGGAGCAATCAAGATGAGGTCGGTGAGGTTTGGTAATGAAGCCAACGTCGCGCGCAGAGCGGATGGGAGGAAGGCTGACAGTAGGATGATATCCAGACTATCAATGAAGGCGGCATGGTTGGGACTGAATGTGGCAAGCGAGAGAAGATTGTGCAGATCGTTCAGTGTCCTGATGCGTTTCCCAGCCTGTTGACATTCAATGGTTGTAAGAGACAAAACGCGTGCGTGACTGAATATTGAAGAGCGTCACCTGCAGCGGTACGGCTTGAGCGGCCTGTGACATTTGATGAGCCACTCAATAGAGCTGCCAGAAGCAAAAGTATACTCACCTCGAAGGCGATATGTTGCTTACGGGTGACAATGCGCATGGCCTCAGAAAAGATCCGCCTAGTACTGAGCGTTGAACGTTGAGCTGCGACCGGATGCAGACGGAAAGCGAAGGGGCTCACCGGAGAAAAGTCGCGAGACATTTATAGGTCTCCGTCGCCTCGAAGGCGTACAAAGGTCAAATACCAAGGGTGAAGAACACCCCTCAGTAACACTTCAGCACGCTGCCGAAGCAATACTGACCCGTCACATTGGTCTTGATGATACAAAGTTCTTTGACTCACCGGGAATCTGGATGGGTAACTTGAAGATCCGCCATGGCCATGCATGTACACGCAGTTAGAGGTGGAATTCAACTGGCCAATCAGCTAGGTGTTGGAGGTAAATTTGCGCCCAGAGTGAGTTTACGACCTGAAGCTTGAAGTTTTGGCTTGAGTGAGCCAGCCTACCGGTTACCGCGGACCGGACCACAATCGTCAAAGTCGGGCGCGTAATGTCGGTTCCGGATCCGAGTCCGCTGGTAAGTAGTAAGCGCTCTGAATGCACTGAGCGCCGGTTGGCAAGCGTCAAGCTTTCAAGCTTCAAGCTTCAGCTTCCTTAAGGCCCGCGCCATTTTACACTCCTACAGCATATTGTACGTGCTCGATACAGAGCACCGTCCTGGAAGCGCGTCTACAAAATTACCGACCGCACATGCAAGCACTGAGGGTGACGCACCTACTGCTGCAATGCCACGTACTCGTTGCGGTGAGCGTGCCGGCTGAAGTCCTGTGTTGGTTGACAACATAGCGCGGCTTGATGAGCGATTCATTCCTCGCATCCGTCGCCCCGGAACGCTTTGGTGTTTTTGCACAATCGATTGGGTACGGTCATCGGCAGTGGCGTCCGGCGTGCAAAACAAAGGGTTATGTAGGCGAGCCGTGCCCATATATCCTCTCCCCCGATGATAAAATGGCTGAAGGGCACTGCCTGTACAGACACCCGACACTGACTACGCCGCCGCGCATTTGCCGCGCAGTCGCTTCACAAGGCCATATTTTAATCTAAGCATGCTTCTAGGTGCGAGAGCTACGCATTTCCCCGTGCTCGTCCTTCAAAATGCACTCATACATACGCACAGGCCCGGCGACTAGTACAGATACCGCTGCAGAGCCCAGTCGGGCGCGCCCAGCAGGTGAAGATCCCATCAGTCAGAACTGACCGATGCCTGAGCTTACTCCAAGGGCTTTCCTTTGATTGTGCGCAGACACGAATCGCTCCGAACAGCGAGAAATCGATCGGACGTCACAAGCATATCCAATAGCTCCAGATACTCGGGCGTTCCATAACCGTCTAGCCCCAAATGAGGCGGATCGTATGCCAGGCAATCGACTTCGGCAGCGTCTCGCCGCAGGTAACATACCTCCATGTCCAATCGAAATCCCATTTCTCACTCCTATGGGAAGCGACTCTTTTTGACTG